CTACAAGAACCAGTTTTCACCTTTTCGATATCATCCATAATAACGGAGATACAGGGGGTGTCCCAAATAGCAAAATTTTCAAAAAGACCCTGTAGCTCAGAAACGAAGAGGGCTATGAAAATTTTGTTTACGGCATCTTCCGTTTGACAAAAAAGTGGCACAGGTTTGTGCAAACCGCACCCTTCTATCTTCACGAATAACGGAGATACCATATGATTTCAACTAAAATGGGATATCCTGTACAAGCTTTGCTGTGGGCAACTTCTATTTGTGTCGTTAGAGATCTAGTGCTAATAGTGGAGTTTTGACAATTTTTTGATCCTCCTTGATATTACAATTCCTTGATATTCCTTGAACTTCATCATTTTGTGCCGTTGCATCTTGTGCTTTTAAATACACTTTATTATAAACTTTTATAAACATGTACCATTTGTAAACACCCACAATTGAAAAATAATCTCACGCACTACTAACGTTAATTATAAGATTATAGGGGGGATGACAATTGTGATAATTTTGGCGAGGTCAATCTCTAAACGTCATTTACTAAAAACTGACATAAAATTAGTCAAAAATTGACGCTAGTTATAGAAAGGTTAAAAAAATATAAAACGTTTTCACACACTTGGGAATGACGATCGATGACAGTCCCCATATAATTTTATATATAAAATGACAGAGATTTTTATTTCATAGTAATCACTGACGCCGCGCCGGCCGGTTTATTTTCGACCATACTGTATTTTCAATATATCAATAATATTTTCTGTTTGGCACATACTGTAAGTTAGGAAATATTTTATTGGCTAACATTTTTAAACGATGTTCAGACAAATATTGTCTGATAACAAAATCATATCAATCATCAATGGAAAATATCACCGACATTGATGTTCTATCCAAAGGATATTAAGTGGTTCAGTTATTATTGCCTATTTCCTCTTACATTGTCAACGCTAATCATCCGTAAAAAAGTTATATCTGCTCCACAGTGCTCCACAAATTCGAATATCAAACATCCGTGAAATACCGACAGTTCTTTCAGTTGGAACACAGGTTTCGTTTTAGTACCGTGAAAGAAGTATTTCGATAATTTTTTACATAAAAAATATGAGTCAAAAGGTCTAGAAGAAATAATCAAACGATAATCAATTTTCATGATCTCGAATGCAAGATTCTTGGGCGGTTTTGCATTCTTTTTCACATTTTTTATTACTTATTTGTTTAAAATTATGGTTTTAATATATTACAAATAGTGTTTTTCCGACTATTGTATAATTTCAAAGAAAGAAGTGCTGATTCAATATATAATATATCGAAAAATATAAATTTTAGTCAGACAAATATTCTGATAATATATTGCTTTAAAGTTTTCTTTTTCTTCGTCATCTCTTCATGTCTGAAGAACCGTGACATTATGGCTATGTGCAGCTGGTGATTTTGATCTACCTTTCCGCCTCTCGGAGATTTGATTGAAATGGCTGACCTGTAATATTTGCTATTTGGTCAAGCCATCTTGATGATGATCGTCCTCTGGGTCTTCGGTCTTCTACTTTGCTTTGTACTATGAATTTTTCAAGGTTGTCTTCACCTCTGCGAGTGTTATGACCGAAGTATTTGCAGGATGCGTCTACGGCAGATGGTGGATAATCGATCTGTGATGCCGAGTTCATTGAAAATTGACTGGTTCGTTCTTCGAGCTGTCCATGGGATACGGAGCATTCTCCTCCAGCTCAGCACATCTCAAATACTCTTGACGGTCCATGACTCAGACCCGTATAGGAATATGAACAAGGGTTCAAGTTTTATTTGCATTTAACTACTAAAAATACCATTTATTAAAAACTAGTGTGTACCCGCGACTTCGTTCGCGTCGGATTAATAATTTGTAATGGTGATGATCAAGCAAAGCAAGAATTTCCATTAACATACAAACTAAGATAAACTTTTCTTACATTTATGTCAGCATGAGAAAAAACAATATGGCGATATTATTATATAACTTGGTATAATATTTGAGGGGTAGTTTCATCTCGTTGGAATTTGACTTTCGAAAAATCCGTTTGCCAAAAATAAGCTTTTTACGTCAAGCAGTTTAAGCAGAATCGTGATTAATCAATTACCCAACTTTTTGGAACACCCTGTATGATTTTTTAAAAAATAACAAATAAATAATAAATAATTTTTAAATAACAAATATTGTAATATTTGAGGGACGTTTTCATCCTGTTGGAATTTGAGATTCGAGAAACCCCTCCTTATCGAACCTCAACCCCACAGTCAATCCGTTTGCCAAAAATCAGCTTTAAACGTCAAGCAGTTTAAGTAGAATCGTGATTACTCAATGGTTATATTTTATGAAACACCCTGTATAAATTTTTAAAAAACCTTAAAATATGTAAAACAACAAAATAAAATATACATGTTTAAGAGTTTTTCCGAAAAACTCACCGGTTTTTAAATAAAAAATATTCTAATATTTGAGGGGTGGTTTCACCTCCTTAGAATTCGAGTTTCGAAAAATCCCTTCTTATCGAACCTCTACACCCTAAAGTCAATCCGTTTTCCAAAAATCAGCTTTTTACGTCAAGCGCTTTAAGCAGGATCGTGATTAATCAATGACCAGAGTTTTCGAAACACCCTGTATACATTTTTAAAAAATCTGAAAATATGTAAAAAAAGAAAATAAAATATACGTGTTTCAGCGTTTTTCGGAAACTTGGCGTTTTTAAATAAAAAATATTCTAATATTTGAGGGCGGTTTCACCCCTTAGAATTCGAGTTTCGAAAAATCCCTTCTTATCGAACCTCTACACCCTAAAGTTAATCCGTTTTCCAAAAATCAGCTTTTTACGTCAAGCGCTTTAAGCAGGATCGTGATTAATCAATGACCAGATTTTTTCAAACACCCTGTATACATTTTTAAAAAATCTGAAAATATGTAAAAAAGAAAATAAAATATACGTGTTTCAGCGTTTTTCGGAAACTTGACCGTTTTTTAAATAAAAAATATTGTAATATTCCACCCCCCTTTTTACCCCCTTAGGGGATGAATTTTTAAAAATCCTTTCTTATCTTACGTAAACATCATAAAAGGAACCCCTGTGCAAAATTTCAGCTTTCTAGGGTCAAGGGTTTGGTCTGGGCGTTGATGAGTCAGTATCAGTCAGGACAGTCAGATTTATATATATAGATTTTCTATGTAGGAAGTGTAAAAAAAGCAAAACTTGCAAGTGCCTTGACACAAGATCAGTATATATGGACCCTGCAAATTAGATCAGAGATCGGCCTCATCCACTGCGATCTTCTCAGATCTATTGTGGTCCTCTTCTGATCCTTAGATTGCATTCTCCAGCCCTATATTTTTCACAAATCCTAACAACTTGGAGACTGAACCCTCCATGTAGCTCCCTGGCAATGACCTATCATTGCCGATTACCGAGAACCGCACATTTGCCAGGTTTAGAATGTGCTCTGTCGTTTCTTCTTCAGATTGGCAGAACCTACACATGGCTTCATCCGTCAACCCCATTAGCTTGTTGAGATGCCTATTCAGCTTACAATGCCCTATTAGTAGACCCACTACAGCTTTGACTTTCTTAGGTCTACCTGAAATGTTGGTAAATATTTTACTATGAATTTTTTCGTCTGTCTTTGCACTGGTGAGTTTCTCCACCATTCTAGAGATTTGTTGGACATCCATTGTTCCGTAGCCATTATCGTGATTGTTTTTACAAAGCCGCAGAAGGATTCTGGGCCTATGAATGACATTGATGAGCTTTACTTGGCCCTTTTATCTGCCTGTGCGTTACCCTTGCGTTAACTGCCTTTGCATTACCCTCGTGCCCTGGTACTCGGGCCAACGTAACAATATTACGTTCACCTAAAGTATTCAAAGTACGCACATAGTGCCACACTAGTCTAGAATTGACCTCCGTGAAATCGAGCGCCTTTAGCGCAGCTTGGCGGTCTATGAAGATGGCCACCGAACTTTGCTGCCTTATTATTTCTTCTATACAATAGTGGATTGCTGTTATTTCTGCCTGGAAAATTGTGACTTATACTTGATAGGCTTACGTGGAAAGATCTTCCTTGTTTCGGCCCTGCTATTCCAGCTCCTACGCCTTCCGACGTTCTTGAGCTATCTGTGTGCCAGGTTGCCTTAGCCTGAATGTGTACACCCTTTTTCCAGTCCCTTCCCGGTGTGGTTATATTAAATTTTTTGTTAAAGCTATACCTTTGTTATACCTTGTAGCTGTTGCTTCAAGCGGTAAACCCAATACTTTGTCTGCTTTTAACTTTTCGATTAGCTTCTGGTTTTCAGTCCAAGCATGTATCCTTCCACTATGCGTTATGCGTCTGGCTTATGTGCTGATGACCGTGAATTAACCTGTGCAAAACATACCTGGCTACTGGGCCCTGAAGGCCAAGGAGGTATTGGTTCTGGTCTTGAATTTGCTCATCATTACTTATTTGCAACACGTCATGAACTTTACTTTCAACTAAAAATGTTAAATGAGACATATCATCAAAAAGTCTGAATTTTGTCCGATACATTTCAACATGGAAGAGTCAGTTCTTGACAAATTGTCGCTCTGTGCTTGTCTGCAATCATTTAAAAATTCATGCAAAGTATCTATGAAAACGAAACTATTATCAAATTAATAAACATATAATTCGTTTTAATGACAGAAAATTTGTTCATAATTTTATTACGTAAAACTAAAATATCGTAAAATTTTAATTTTGCAGCAAAACCACTGAAGGAACAGAATATATGGCATTTTCTATAAAGAATTATAATTTTAGTGTAAAACATATTTGACTCTAGCACGTGCGCTTTCATGGCCCGTATATTTTGCATAAAAAAGAGTGAAAATCTCAAATACGAAACTCTCGTTTTTCCGAAATATTATCCTTTATAATCTCTTTGAATCAACCACGCTAATATGACTATATATAAATACCGTGCAAATTATATTTTATATATTTTATTGCAGATGAAGTTCGTACTGGAACCTATCGTCAGCTCTTCCATCCTGAGCAACTGATTACTGGAAAAGAAGATGCCGCCAATAATTACGCAAGAGGTCATTACACTATCGGCAAAGAAATTGTGGATGTCGTTTTAGATCGTATCAGAAAATTGGCCGATCAATGCACAGGGCTACAGGTAATTTTAAAAATACTAATACTATTTCTTTGAGAAAATTTTAAGATTACTTATATACAGGGTAGCACATTAGTGCGAGGAAGTCCAATATTGTCGTTGTTGTCGAAGATATGAAAAAAAGTTCTATATAAATGTTAATTTAATGTTGCCTGGTTTATAAACCATGGGGCATATTCTAAAAAATATTTTGGTGTATACAGCGTGTCACAAAAAAAATTATGAGAAAGTTTTAAGTTTTTTTTTAAAATTGCACCCTCTATTTTTCTGTGGATAATTGGATTCGGCATAAAATTCTGCATATAGTACACTTTTTTTATTTGAGGCACTATAAAATATCAACATTTAGTTTTCCCTCGTATATTTGACAGATGGAAATTTTCATTTTTAATTTAGAAAGGCATACTAAAATGTCAAATAAAGTAAAATATATTATAATTATAATTAATATAAAGTAAAATATATTAAACTTTAAAATACATACATCAAAATTTTAAGATGCCCGTTTTTCGTGCCGGTGAGATATGTCTGCTTTGCTTCAAATGTTCGATCGAAAAATGAAAATACGCGCGGAACCCTAGATCATATATTATATGATCTAGGCGTGGAAGTGGCATGTAATATATTCAGCAGACAGCGATCGAGAGTTTTGTTTAAAAATTAATAGATATTCGGATATTATGTTTAAATCCAGAATATTATGTTTAAATCCCAGATAATGAATTAGTCGAAGTTTTTTTGCCTAGATTTCAAGTCTATGATGAACCGTTTTTTGAACAAATATGTAACAGGGTGGCGCACCTCATTCGCCTCGGTTGATTATACGAAAATGTTATGGGTAAAATTTTATGGGTATATGTAGGGAAGTAATATGCACAATTTAAAATTATTTTGAAATGTACAGGGTGTTTCAGAACTAAGATCCATACCAAAGTTATATTTTTTCTTATAGATCACCCGGTATTTTATTTCATTTTTGGATTCTTGGGCCCAAAAAAGGCATTTATTATAAGTGTTAAATATGTTTAAAATCATTATTTTTTGAGATATCTAAAGATATATAAGTTTGCATACTTTTTAGAATTAATTCTTATGCTGACTTTAAAGGTAGGAAAATAAACTTTATTGAAAATATTGGTTCGTTGCAGGGCTATTAAAAGTTGCTGATCTATTTTAGGAATATATTTTATATAAAAACTTCGTTATTTCAAATGCAACACCCTGTGTTTTTTTAAATAAATCGAAGTAGATTTAAATGCTCTTTTAAACTATATTAGAGTGTCCTATACCTATCTAGCTCAGATTTTCAATAAAAAGCGATTTTTAAATAAAATTGTGATCAAGATGGCTGGTGTCGCCATGGCAATTTTCTAGTGACAGTTAGTAACTATTTTCAAAGTCGACATTAGTTTATGGACATTATTATTTATAATATATAACAGTATACTTATACCAAATAAGAAATGGACATGGATTTCACCAGACGGAATGACAAAGAACGAAATAGATTACCTCTTAACAACCAATAAATCGATGTTTGAGGACGTAACAGTAATAAACAGATGTACAACAGGAAGTGACCATAGGATGGTTAGAGCCAAAATCTGTATAAATGAAAGAAAAATGCGAAAACAACTGTTCAAAAAGAAAGCCCAATCTCAATCAATCCAAATAAACTGAGAAAACAGGGAAACGAATTCAGAAGAACACTTGAAGATAATATAAATTTAGAACAAATGGATGGACAAGATATAGACGAAACAAACGATAGAATAAGTAAGGAGCTCCTCAGAGCTGGATTGGAGGTCGCTAGCAGGACAAAAACTAGGGTAAATAAGTTAAGTCAGGAAACGAAACAACTGATGAATCAAAGGAGGCAACTCATGACGAATGGAAGGATGAATACGGGGGAATATAATGAACTAAATAAAATCATCAAAAAAGAAGTCAAAAAAGACCTAAAAGAACACAACGAAGCGTTAGCGGAGAAAATTATAGAGAGCAACAGGGGTCTAAAAAGCTTACAACCAACACTTGGAACCCAAAGAATGATATCTCTAAAATACCCAAATGGAAAAGAAGAGAGAGACAAAAAAAAGATCACCTCAATAGTAGAAGACTTCTACACTGACCTATATAGGTCTAAGAAAGATGCAGACACCCCTACAAGAGAAAAACTAAAACTGAAAATAGAAAATGTTGGATCCGAGGAACTGCCGGATATAGATGAATTCGAAATTGAACAAGCCATAAGAAACCTGAAGAATAATAAAGCACCAGGCCAAGATGAAGTATTAGCAGAAATGCTAAAGGAAGGAAAAGACATAGTGATACCGATATTAAAAAAGCTATTTAACGAATGTCTACATCTCGGACAAATACCAAGAGATTGGAATAACAGCCTGACAGTACTCTTATTCAAAAAAGGTGATAGAGGTGATATAAAAAACTACAGGCCAATATCCTTGCTTTCTCAAGTATATAAGCTTTTCATGAAAGTCATTAACAACAGACTAACATCAAAATTCGACAACTACCAGCCGGTGGAACAGGCAGGTTTCCGTAAAGGATACAGTACGTCAGACCACCTGCTGACTATGAAAGTATTGGTTGAGAAGGCAAACGAGTATCATCTTCCCATGTATTTTGCTTTCGTGGACTATGAAAAGGCCTTTGACAGTGTCGAATTATGGGCTGTAGAACAAGCAATGAACAACTGCCGAATTGATTCAAGATATAGAACCTTAATCCATAATATATACAAGAACGCAACAATGACAATACAAATAGGAGATACTACTAGACCCATCCAAGTTAAGAGAGGAGTACGTCAGGGAGACGTGATATCTCCAAAATTGTTTACCTTGGCAATGGAAGATGTTTTTAAAAAACTGGACTGGTCGGAATATGGCATTAATGTAAACGGCAAAAAACTAAATCACTTGAGATTTGCCGATGACGTCGTCCTAATTACTGACACTTTTGAGGGAATTCAGGCAATGGTAAACCAGCTGACAACCGCATCGGAAAATGTTGGCCTAAAGATAAATATACAAAAAACAAAAATGATGACAAATACCGAAAATCAAAACAACGTGACGATCAACGGATCCCCCCTGGAAACAGTTAAAGAATACATATACCTGGGACAGGTGATCAAGTTAGGAAAAGAAAACCAAACGGCCGAAATTACTAGGCGGAGCAAGTTGGCATGGGCTGGATTCGGAAAATTATCGTGGATACTCAAAAATCAGAAATTTCCCCAATATTTGAGAAGCAGAATTTTCAACCAATGCATATTGCCAATCCTTACATACGGCTGCCAAACATGGACATTTACAAAGGCAAATATAGAAAAACTGTCGAGGACCCAAAGAGCCATGGAAAGAATTATGTTAGGAGTTAAACTTAAGGATAAAAAAAGAAATAGCTGGATAAGAATGCGGACTAAAGTGGAGGATGTGACAGCCAGGGCGGCACGATTGAAATGGAGCTTTGCAGGACATACAGTTAGACAATCCGACAATAGATGGAACACGGTAATTCAGCGATGGAGGCCATACTTAGGACAGCGAATGAGAGGACGCCCTCAAATGAGATGGTACGATGATTTCAAAAGAGTGGCAGGACTACATTGGACACGCACAGCACAGAACAGAGATCGGTGGCGAGAATTGGGAGAGGCCTATGTCCAAAGTTGGACGACAAACGGCTAATGATGATGATGATGATGAACAGTATACTTAAATTTACCTACAACAGTATATTTTTTAGTTTTAATAAGTAAGTTATCATTATTTTATCAAGAAAAATAAAGCAGTATCTGCTGGCGGAACGAATAGATATGTTACTAGTGATATTATTTTGTGAGAAAAATTGCTTCTTGGCCTTATGGGCTTATGCTCAAAGATATTCAAATAGGAATCTTCCTGATTAGCGTTTCTTTGAAAAACTTCTTGTCCTATTTCGCAGAGCTGGTAGTGTGGTTTATGAAAAACCTATTAGGCAGAAACCTGTCGTTGAAAGTGCAGAAAATGAATTTCCCGTAATTGGCTCTTTTATAGAAAATCCATACAAGTCATCGTAAAATAATTCGAAGAACTACTTCTTCGATTTTCTTGATAGAATAATAAACATATATTTAATAAATATTATTTGTTAAACTATTGTAGGTAAATTAAATAAAAGTAAACTGGTATAAAAAGTGGCGTAGCGTGGGTTAGGGGCGCCCGGGGCGTGGAGCCTCTAGGAGAGAGGTTTGCCGCCCCTACAGAATAAGTCCGCCGCGCCGCCCTTATAACAATTTTTTGTCGCCTCGTAGGTACTTGGAAGGTCGCCGCCCAGGGCTGTCCGTCTCCACCGCCCCCACCGCCCCTACCGCCCCCACCGCCCCCGCCTTGCTACGCCACTGGGTATAAAATATATAAATTGTGCACATTACTTCCTTACATATACCCATAAAATATTTTGTTTCTACCCTTTCCTACACCTTTCCTGTTCGTATAGTCAACCGAGGCGAATGAGGTGCGCCACCCTGTATACTTAATGAATGATAAAATAAAAAAAATCTCAATCAAAGGGGTATTAAGTTTAAGGATTCACGTGTCATATAGAAAAACTTTAGAGCATTGATATTTGAATAACTTTAAAACATAATAACTTTATGGTAGCAATAGTAAACTGGTAGTATAATAGTTTAGTATGTCAATATAGCTAACTTAACAACTTAGTATTAATTCCGCACTAAGAATTTGCGATATCATACATAGCCATTAATTACTATAGAGTAGAATTTTCAGAAGCCGTTTTTTTATTTGGTCAATGATAGATACCGTAATATACAACAGCACCATCATTGGTGGTTTCCATTACAGCAAACGCAAACGGCGTGATCAGTCTACCGGAATGCATTTATAAACTCACCGTGGATTATTCATTAACTCTGATATTTTCCGGTTAATTATTTTAAAGTGCTGCCAAATGCCTTTTACAAGTCCCGATAT